TCCGTTCGAGAAGGAGCTGGAGATTGTCAAGAACTCATATCGCATCGCCCGATTCCCCGATGTCTTCCGTTCAGCCATTAGGGTTGCAAAGAGTTTTCTCGTGTGACTATCGCATGGTGGGGTCCATGTGTAGTAATGGTCCATGGTGGAGGGGTCGGCCCCATGGCAACCGGGCGGTGAAAAAAATTCCCATGTTGATGATCGCATCATAAAAACAAAGGGAGGGTCGAAGTGCCCAGAGAGAAGCGCGATAGGAGTCTATCACACAAATTTCAAGCCCGGAACCCGCGCACGAGTCACAGTAAAAAACGATAAGAAAAAAAAAAAAGTCAAACGTACCTCGCTCTCGATAGCACTGGCCTCATCGTCACTCTCAGTGGCGCCGGCCATGCCACCACCAACACCGATTCCACCATCGGAGGTCTGAATACCACGTCTCTTGGCCAAGTTCTCCTCACGCTTCTGCTTTCGGATCTCGACCTGCTGTTCTTCACGGCGGCGACGGAGCTCATCGGGCTTGAACTGGTTCCGGGCCTTGAACTGGGTCCGGCGGTGCTCGGGGATATAGCGTTCCGACATGATGAAAGAAAAGAAAAGCGCGCCTCTGAGTTCAAGTGAAGAAAGATGGGGATGGGCGCGCCGTGGATGGGAAGGGAAAGAGATGTGGGGGAGGAAGAAGAGGAAGAGGAAGGTTTCGTGTGTGCAAGGAGGGGAAATCATGTGACAGCTTTCCCCCCAATTATTTACTCAACGCGTGAATTCACTTTTTGCCTGCTTTTTGTATCCTACTTCGTCGCCAATAGTTTTCAAATTGATCCAAGGATTCAATCAGCTACTATTTGTTTTACTTTGGCTTCCCAGGATGTCCCAGAATCAGAGGATGGACACCCATTGAGCATTGGGCACTGCCAGCTTCCGAGCCTACAATTTTACTTTGAGAGATACCGCCTATCTGTGGCGACTAAAGGGGCCTCCCTTTCAACAACTATGGCGCCTACCGATCTGGTGGATATTAGTACAGCTTGCACCCGTCGAGGATCCATCAGCACTGTTGGCGTCGTGGTCGATAAGCTGGATGTCTATCGTACCAAAGGGTCCTCATCTTGTGTCACATTCACTATCAAAGATGCTCACTTTGACACTCCAAGCTGGTCCGGAAGCCTCAAGATCAAGTACTTCAACGACAATGAACATTTCTTACCTGAAATTCGCCTCAACGATGTAGTTCTATTGCGAAATATTCGAGTATGTCTCCCGAGACAATTGCTAGACCAGGACTGATTTCATGCATCAGATCACAGTCTTCCAGGGCAAACCCACGGGGGTTGCTTCTCAACATGATACAGTCCCCTGGGCAATCTTCAGGCCAGGGCTAGATCCCAATTCAAGCCCGGCTATCACCAGCGGGCCTGTTCCATTTGAATTGAAAGCTGTGGAGAAGAGGTTCGCAATCTCGCTTCTGGACCGGTTTGTAGTCGATGATTATTCTGCCTCGGCGCCACAACAAACACGTCGATCGGCTGCTTCGCGACAGCCGTCTCAGGCAGCCCAGTCATCTCAGGTGATCCAGACATCTATGCCAGCTCCGAAATGGGGCGGCCTACCCTTCCATCTAATCCAAGATGTCCAACCCAACAATCTTGCGCAACTACTAGGCCAAGTAGTGAAACTCAACACGTGGGATAACGAGAGATGCCTCCTGTACCTTACAGATTATACCACTAATACAGGTCTCATGGACATCAAGAAAGAAGGCGGAGACGAACAAGGTCCAGAAGGTGACGAATACAACTATATGGCTCGCAAAAAGAAGGATTGGCCCGGCCCATGGGGCCAATTGACAATACAGGTTGCTGTCTGGGAGCCGCATGCCAGCTTTGTACGCGAGCGCGTCAAAGCCGGCGATCTTGTTCTCTTGACATACGTGCGTATCAAAGCTGGCCGCTTCGAAGGCGGCATCGAAGCTGCCGTGCATGAAGATAAAAAATACCCGGAGAAGATCCATGTCCGCCTTGTTTCGCCGAATTACGATGAGCGGACCCGAGAGCTTTTAGAGCGTCGGAAAGAGTACTGGAGCATTCACGGCAAGCCGAGTGAGGATCCGAAGAAGGCTGAAAAGAAGAAAAAGAGCGAACAGAAGAAGAAAGAGATCCGGAGAGAAGAGGGTCAAAAGACTCTCACAGTGGCGACCTCACAAACCAAGAAAAACCCGCACAGTAAGTCGTCTATAGATTTGGAAAGGCAGAACGGATGCTTATTGCCTGCGGCAGTCAAAATGCGGAACATTGGAGTTCCCGAGCGCTCCATCGACTATATTCTATCAGGCGAATCACACATCAACAATCTCCCCGGCGGTATCACTTATACTCTACCTTTCCAGAATGTCTGCTACGTGCTTCTAGCGCGGGTTGTGGATTTTTTCCCTCCGAAGCTAGAAGACTTCGCAGTTAAAGTCCCTGTGAAGCGGATAGCCAACTACGGAGACAGGGACCAAGAGATCGACAGCACACCGCGCATGGAATGGCAATGGCGCTTCTGCCTTCTCGTCGAAGGAACCGAGCGTCTTGTCTCAAAAAGTGAAGTCCGGAAACAGATGAAGATCTATGTATCCGGTGGAGATGGAGAGCATTTGCTCAATCTAGATGCTACAGAGTTAGTATGACCCTCTCCTGTGTATTTACAGAGTCGCTGACACTCTCCGGTATAGTTTACGTCGCAGTCCCGAGCGACTAGCTGAGCTGCGAGAGAAGCTGTTCCTTCTGTGGGGCGATCTCGAGGAAAAGAAGCAAGCACAAGCTACTGACCAAATTTCGGCCTGGGAGCCGGTTAAATCCTCCTCGGTGCCGTTCAACTGCTGTATCCAGGAGTATGGAGTGCAGTGTGGTCATCCTCCTGATTCGAATGCCATGGCTGTAGATGGGGCCGAGCAGCCATGCAGTCAACCAGACTGTTTCGGCTGGGAACGACGATTCTCCATGTTCGGGACAACTATTCATTCTTAGAGAGGTTGCACAGGCGTAACAGGTTCAACCGATTATCGGACAATTGTAAAGTAGGCACTGGTGTCACCCTACAAAGATCAGTGCATGATTTGAGAATTTCTAATACTATTCTTAATTGATTGTTACTTATACAATTTGCAGTTTTGATAGATGCATCTAAAGATAAACTGTGCCTCACTCGCGTTTAAACTCTCCGAACCAGTCCATACCATACGCCATCCTAAGGACACTAGACTCCGAACGAAACCCCGATTTCCGTGCAAGGCCCGATCAAAGTCCCGAAAAAAGATCAATTCAATTGCTGGGGGGATACCATGCTCCTCAGCCCTGAACCCTGTAGATAAACCTTTCGTATGCCGGTCACGCCGAAATAAGACTGAAATACTAAACCGAAAAGCCTCACCCCAAGGGGCTTTCGGATTCAACAAAAACGAATATAACCACGATTTTAAACCTTTGTCACTTTGACGATGTTGGTGTCAATACCGTGAGCCACAGGCTCGAAGCGACAGCTGTCTCCGCGGAAGCAGGTCTTTTTCCCGGGTTCGCTCTGCGGGCAACGGTGGCCGTAGATACACTCCGGGTCGTCGCATTCCAAGCCAAAGCGGCACGGCGTCATGCGGGCGATAGCGGAGAGGATGTGGAGTTCTTGGCGGGTCAACTTGCGATCGTGATCGTGGTAGCAGTTCTCTTCATTGGGGCACTCGCCCAGCAGGAAGAAATAATTGCACAACTTCAACTTCTTCAAGCGATTAAGATCATCACGGGGAATGCTCTTGAAATCGAGGCGATCCACACGCTGTCCATATTTGTTTCGTTCGACGGTCTTGGGAGCTGTCGAACCAGCAAGCTTGGAGCGCACAACCTGCTGGAAATCGGGGGGCTCTGCTTTATTGGTATTGGGAGTGCAAGCCGACAGAGGCACGCCAACACCGGAGTAGCTCGTGTTGGTGGATGTTCTTGACAAAGGCGGGGGATTTGAGAACGATTGGGAGGGAGAAGGCGTGAGCAATGATCGGGATGGAAGTGCGCTCTTCCAGGGTGCTGTCCAAACGGGCACCAACTTGGCTGAACGGAAGACATCGGGGAATCGGGCGATGCGATATGAGTTCTTGACAATCTCCAGCTCCTTCTCGAACGGAACACCTTCCACGAGAGAGATGCGACCAGTGAGATCTCCTTCATTCAACGAGTCCTCCAAAAATTGACCGTATTCGCTATTTGAGGGACAGCCCAGGAAGACCTGGTGGCAATGGCAGTTGTAAAGGAAGACCTGGAACATCTCTGTGCAGACAAAACGATGAGTACGACTCCAACACTGGGTTTGGATAGAGAGACAAACCTTGAATCTTATCGTATGCCTTGTTCTTGCTGGACCCGACGTCCACAATTTCAGAAAACGACATGGTCTCATTGAAGCCGCGAATGAAGTCATGGATCGCAGCAGCCTCTGAAATAGTCCCACTCCGAGCGCAAAGCTCACCAAAGCTCTTCACATTCAAGAAGATCTTGGTCAAAAGCCTCGGCTCAGTAACACTGGGAATATTTTGGGCCAGATATGAGCGCATGCCCGTCTCGAGCGCCTTGGCCGCACTGCGTCCACCTTCTTCTCCTTGTAGCAAATATTCATCCTTGAAGATTATCCCTTCTCCGTCTAAAAGCACGACAACGAAAGGTTCTCGATCCTGGAACCGGTCCTGTATCAGCGCGTGTCCCGGTGTTCCAGTCCACCATTTGCGCTCACCATAATATTCTTGATCTGGGAGATCTGTTGCATCAACTCCATCTCGTGCAGTTGAATATCGCGATTGAAGCGGGTCTCGCGCTGGTGATCAAGTTTCTCTTGCTGGAAGGAAGTTTCAAGGTCGGTCACTCGTTGCAGGAGTTCCTAAAGACGAATCGCATTAGCTTCCAAGCCTGTTCGTGCCCAAGGAAGGGTTGATACTTCAATAAGCTGATTCTTTTGCTGATCCAGTGCGCTCAACTGGCGATAGCGCTCAAGATAATCGGGGGTGTCCATATTGACGAAGTATTATGGGGCGATAGGGTGTAGAAGTAAAGAGAACAAAGTGATAAGAGAGCGAGGAGAGATTTAAGGATGAAAAAAGCTATGAAGTTGGCAGGCGCTTGCGCGATCGCGTTGTTTCACCCTCGCAAAGTGAATGCAGGTAGTCGTAAAGCGGCGCCTTCACGTATTGAACAGTTAAATGATTAGAGATTAAACTGATCTCGACTTTATCGCTTCTCTATTTCCAAAAAAAAAAAAAAAAAAAAAAAAAAAAATTGGACCTCCAAAGGGAGAGACGCGACGGCTGAGTCAGCTTCCCCGGTACCGAAGTGGACCAAGCTAAAAGGCAAGTTGCAACGTGTGAAGTGTGATCACCCTTTCTCCTGTACCCTCCTCCATTCTATCAAGATGACTCGTTTTGGATTCCTCTCCCTGGCTCTACTCTCTCTGCAGGCCTTCGTCGGTGCCGGCTTTGCTGCTGTAAGTTCTTATCACTTTCACGTCGCTGCAATTGACTCACGCGACGATCATTAGGATACCGAGAAGGTTGAGGCCGAAGTCGCTCTCAAGGTTAAGGCGGAGATTTCTTTCCCTGCCTCTGAGATCTTCGGAGTCAAGCTCGTGAACGGCCACCCTACCCAGGCTGTGATCGACTTCATCAACGATGAGCCTAACCCCGTCACCGTGAACTTCCTCGGAGGTAGCCTCTGGAACCTCGAGGAGGAGAGCAAGGTCGTCCGTAACTTGACTGCCACTCGCTATGGCGTCGAGATCCCCGCGGGCTCCAAGGAGAGCATCAGCTACAGCTTCGCCACTGAGATGCACCCCCAGGACGTCCGTCTGAGCATCGCCGCCATTCTGTCTGACAGTGAGGGCAAGTTCTCCACCGTCCAGGCCTTCAATGGCACTGTGAGCGTGGTTGAGCCTGACACCAGCATCTTTGACCCCCAAATGTGAGCACTTCTCCCCCAAGCATCGCGCGCAATTGACTCACCCTGACTTTCTCAGTCTCTTCCTGTACTTCTTCCTCCTGGCTTGTGCCACTGGTACTGTCTACTTCTTCTACACCGTCTGGGTCGCCCCCTACTTCCCCCAGAAGCGCAAGAGCGGCAAGTCCGGCGAGAAGCGTGCCCCTGGCAGCGCCAAGCGCGAGGCCCCGTCCGTCGAGGATACCCCCACCCCTGCCGCCGTCTCCTCTGCCACCGCCTACAACGCCGACTGGATCCCCTCCCACCACCTGGCTCGTCCCGAGACCCGGAAGGTCAAGGGTACCGGCAAGTCCAAGGTCCGCTCGTAAATAGTCATGCGGCAAGAATATCAGTGGTTGGAAGGAGGAGGGAAAGCATTATGCTTTGTCTGGATATTCTGTTAAATGGCAAGGGCAGGTCACGCAAGTGCTGAAAATGCATTTGTCTAGGATCTGTTTTAGTGTCGAAGCATGTACACTTACGAGGATTGGCCAGTCATATTTTGTCCTGATGCCATTGGCGGCCGTGGGAGTACGAATCACAATTTCAAACCAGGCTACCTTATGTCGCAGACGTAATTGTCGCGGCTGGGCCCATCAGGTCACAGTTTCTTCCACTCCTTAAACTCCTCTTCTAGGTGCTTCTTCAGCTCGCTGAAACGGTTTCCAAACCCCCTCCCACAGCGCCAACATGTGAAGTCCTGCTTTAGGTACCCCTGCCGAGTAGGATCCCGCCGCTTATCATTCGGCGCCAGAGGGAAGTCCTCAATGGGCACGAAGAACGGTGTCGCAAAACTATTGTAGTGCTTCCGATGTTTCATTTTCTTCTTTTCAGCCTTCTTCGGATCCTCACTCGGCTTGCCGTGAATGCTCCAGTACTCTTTCCGACGCTCTAAA